GATCACGCAATTGGTCTATGGAGCACGCAAGGAATTCTATAATTCCGTCAACTTACTAGGTACTATTCTCTGTAGCAATGCCTACGCTGCGGATTCCTACGGAGTCCGGAATGTCAGGTATGAGCAAGGGCTATCCCGTACTCTAAGCTTTGTTGTGCTATGAGTGCAGACTCCCCTCATCTCTTCGCCTTACAGTATACCACCTCTCCTCCAATCAACAATTGCACATTTAAATGCTATCTTATTACACCATAAATCGGCCAGATTACCACATCGGAGAGAATTATGTATACGGGTAGATAAGAGGTCTAGAATATTGGAGATATCATAATGAGTTTTGCAACTTGGTCGTTTGAAAAGAAACTTGAGGTACTTACACCAATATTGTCTAGATGCTTGGCAGAATGCGGTTAAGGAGAGGAGACAGAAGCTGACCTATAAACCTTGCTTTTTGGCCGGTGACTCACAGGCGTGGGATATCATATTGATATGCATGCATACAATTACGGTATTCGTTTATTCACTTCAAAAAAGTTGAAATACTAACTTATAAGCAATGTTATCTCCGAGCTAAACGACCATGCACTTTTAATACTTGACCCCTTAATACTATGGGGCTTTAGATCTTGATAACTCCACCCACCAACGATCCTCAAATTGTGGAATTTCCCCATGGTGCTTCAGGGACGAAAGCGTGGGGGATATGATGCATCATTACATATCAAGGTTACTCTATTTAATCTACATAGTCTCCTAAAAACTTATAGGTAATCAGTCTATTTGAAATGTGTTACTTTCTAAACTTACTGAAGACAACATAACTGGTTCGCATCGTGTCATTAAGTGCTCCTCTTATTCAGAAAAGTCACAACCTCGAAGGAAACACGAGAGAACACATTCTGCGCCATGTTGTACGCCATCATCAGTTATATTAGTATATAGCTGTGATTTCCCAAGGAGCCAAAGCACCACCTCAGTCTGTCTTCGCAATATTCGAAACACTAGGTTAGATAAGTCACTATGGAGTTGTGAATGGCTTAGGATTAACGTGGAACAACGAAAGACTTGACACTTGCCCTTTGCAAGGCGGCCTTGTGATCATGGCTTATGATAGTACGGTATTTATTTAAGAAGATAAGGGACTAAGGTCACACTCGAAAACATGATTAAAGATATTTCTTAATAATATAGATTCGTGTACTCATTCATACTACGTATATACCCGCTACCATACATCGTATAGGGCTCTATATGAACCACATCATTCTCTTTTCACTAATACACAAGAGCGCGCTTCGATCTTGCCCGCAGCTTAGGACCGAACACGAACATGACGAAAGCAATCATACTGAGGCCAGTGGCCACAAGCGAGAGCAGGAGACCGGCGTACTGACTGCCGAGGTTGTGGAAGAAAGCGCTAGCGAACAGAGGCGACACAGCGCCAAGCATGTTCCGCACGAGACCCTGACCCGCGATCGCCGACGACGCGCTCTGCCCGTAGCAGTCGGCCGTGTAGCTGTATGTGCTCTCAAAGACGAAGAAGATGCCGACGGCGATGAGCACGAGGCCGACGCAGGGGCCGATCCAGTGCACGAAGCCGTACTGCGTGAAGCTGTAGATGAAGAGCCCGATGGGCAGCCACACAGCGCCGAACATGGCGCCGTACAGGCGGTGCTCGGGCGTCGCCTTCATGCTCGGGTCCGCGCGGATCTGGTCGTACTTGCGCATCTGCAGGTGGTGCGCGGCCCAGCCGATGGTCGTGCCGATGCAGAGGCAGATGTAGGGCAGGCCAGCGATGCCCTCGGACCAGCCGTGGTTCTCCTGGAAGGTGATGGGGATCACGCTCAGGAACAGGAACGTCACGAACCACGCGAACCCGATCCACATGCCGAACGCTAGCACCACGGGCTCGGTCGCCAGCATGCGGATGGCCTTGACGGACGACACCTTCAGCATCTCCTTGACGGAACGCGTGTCCAGGTCGTCGGGCCCGGCCCAGCGCTCGTCGCCGGTGGCTTTGCGCAGCTGCTTCGCGCGCTTGTGCAGGTATGCGCCACCGCGGGTCTCGGGGAAGAACAGGAACACGCAGATCAGGAGGGGGATGTTGGACAGGCCCTGGATACCCTCGATCCAGCGCCAGCCGATGGTCTCGTCGATGAAGCCGGCGTAGATGGGCGCGCCCACGGTGCCGAGGATGGCGACGTACGTGAACATAGCCATCGGGGGGCCGCGCAGGTGCGGCTCGTACATGTCGTCGAAGGTGCCGCCGACGAGGATGGTGCCGACGCAGCCGAAGAGGCCGAGCAGCATGCGCAGGATGACGATGGTAGTGATGTTCTGGCCGAGCGCCAGGCCGATGAACAGCAGCGAGAAGCACAGGTACGCTCCGGCGTATACGACTTTCCGGCCGACCAGCTCGCAGAAGGGCGCGAGGAAAAGGGGCGCGAGGGCGCACGCGGCGTTGAAGGTGAAGAGGCCGAGCTGGCCCAGGATTGTCGGGACGCCAAATTCGGTGGTCATGCTCGTGATGCCGGAGCTGTACGCGGTCGTGGCTAGACCGATGAACAGTGTCATCAGATTCAGCATAGTACAGACGAATATTTTCCGCGATGGTGCCCAGTTGAATGGGTTCTCGCAGTCGCCCTGGGCGAAGCTTAGGACGAGGTAGTCCTGGCCGTCTTTGTTGACGAGCTCCGTGAGGGTAAGGGGCATGTCCACATCGACTGTCTTGAGGGGCCCATGGTCGCCATGAAGATTTGTCTCCTTATTTAGTTCGATATATCGGCCGCCTACGACGCGGCCGTATCTGGCCTCTGGCTGTTTCTCGACATGGCCAACCTCTGACTGGACGTCAGGAGTAAGTGTTTCGGGGGTTTCTGAGTCGCTAAGGTCTAGCCGTTTGCTCTCGGCTTTCTTGTTTCCGATGGCCTCCATGATGAAAGATGCGAGGTAGGCTGGGCTGTGATGATAGACAGACAAGGAGTGAGGATATCTGGATGAGGCGAATTCCAGATGAGAGAGTGCCGAAGCCGTATCTTTTGTGTCCGTATCATAGCTGATACGATAACTACCTCCTCCCGATCGTGGTGCAAGAGCCACTAGACGATGGTCGTCACAACAGTGGACCACCTGGGTCGCGGTCCACCATATCGCCGTGATCTCGCCGTGGATGCATCAAGGCGAGCCAAACTCCGACATAACCGCTCAGCTCTCCTGACGATGCATCGTATAAAAGCCGGTCAAGCCATTTTACCCCCCATTTGACCAGACTTTGAATCGTGCGAGTGTTCTCATGATTTGATTTTCTTTTCAACACCACGCAAACACTCCATACGGGGTTGAAGTCGGAGATCGTCAGGCCAGAGGTGAGTAGTGAGGGTCTGCTGCTAGAGCCTCAACAAGCGTGACCCACATAGAGCAGGCCGGATCCGTCGCCCGAGAATACGGCGACCAGGGGGGATACATTGACCCATTGTCTCTCCTCTCGGTGCTTCTAACAACGGGTCCAGCGCGAGTATAACCCTTATGCAAGCTTTTATGTCCGTTCAGTCTCCAGGGCTGACTTCATAGTGGATTATTTAGGCATTATTTTTGCACGTACGTGGTATGTTGGTCGTGATACTAGCTGAAGACACTAGTAAGCAGCCCTAGCCTCCGTCTGATTTTCGTGAAGATTTTGTATAGTTGGTGTGAAGCATTTCCACATAAGACGTCATTTCTTCAAGCTATACGGCTTTGAGTTACTAAAAAGAGACTTCGTAGACGCGTCGTCCATTAAAAATTTCGAAAAATTCTGGCAGAACTCTGAATGAAAAAGGATAACACCGTCATTAATTTTACCTCCTCAATGCAGAGAAAAAACGTGGTCGGAGCTCGAGCCATCCCTGACTATAGTGTGATAGCAATAGCCAATAAGTAGTTGCATTGGTTGGTGAACCGTAGATTCGAGAGACGCCGAAGATTCTAAGTAAACAGATTTGCACCACAGTAGGTAGATATTACCTAGATTTTTGATCTGAGTTGTTATTCCCGCTCTCTAACATTTTGGTGACCGGAACTAAAAGTACACCAATGAACAGACTATTTGCACCATCCAATCCTCACCGCCGCACGCCTCACATTACAACAGCCACGGCCAACAGTGGGTTGCGATCTGCGAAGATTTAAACAGTTTGCACCTATGCAGTATGACTACATTCAACTCCTCAACTTAAAAATGTTAGGAAATAGAGCCGCGAATAGCGCGAAATGCTGATACAACTCGTGTCTTTTACAAACGGAAATTATCCGAACTTCTCTGGACCCATGGCTCGTCGGACCAGTAATGGAACAATGATAGGAAATATGTGGTACACTAGCTGGAACCAGTTATCCTGCTCGAAACGATACTTTGTTGTCTCGAGTTAAACACTTGATGCCTCTATGAAATTTGGCTTGTTCATCATGTGTAGTACGATGTCTGGTCGATGAGAGCTTGTACTAAATGTGAGTGATTTGGTTTCAATACCTACCCGAAGTATAAACAAATGTCTTTACAGTGCTAGATAAAGTACGCAACTTGGACATAACTCCTTTGTGATTCCCCATATTAACCAAATGATTTGCCTATCATTGGACTATACCAAATCGTGAATCACCATACATATAAAACTTGACAGTGTTGTGTGTTGTGGCAATTAATGAGCCCCTTTTTGACTTTATAGGTGCCCTAAAGCAGGTACGTATCTAGGATGCACCATGTTAAACCCAGCAGTTCTTGAAGACTGCGTAATCAGATCGCGAGAAACTAGAGTTATTGTAAACTTGAAAAACTCTAGACAATGGTTTTACTGGTGAACATCTAAGTTGTGTATTTTTCATGTTGCCGAAATATTTCAAAATCTTATTCCCACTTATATGGGAAGTATATGGATTATTTTAAGCCTTTATTGTTTCCATCGAGCATCAGAAAGTCGATCGCAGAGTTTTCACTTGCAGGGATCTACCAGCATCTCTCAAATGGTCGAGTGGCCCAATGGCAAGGCGTCTGACTACGAACTCATATTGAGTTTAGTTAATCAGAAGATTGTGGGTTCGATCCCCATCTTGATCAGCATAGCAGAAAACATGAAATTCTTTTTGCATTATAAATGTCCTTCGGAAAGGAATTCCCCCTTTTTTTTCTTTTCCGGGCTTTTTCTTTTTCCATCTCTAGTGGACCCTACCAGAACTAGACGACGCATGCATCCACTAGCGTCGCCTTCAACTCATACACATAGGTTAGGTGTATATATATGTCTTGATACCATCTTCTTGCTTATATATAAGAGAGATAATACTAGAATTCCAGCTTTAAGCTCGTTTATTCAAGACAGCGTACTAATTAAGACAATCTAAATATAATGAATTAACATTCTATACACTACTCTGCACATCTTCGGGCATTTCCGCATGCTATTTTCAATTACTTGCGTTATTTCAAAAAAGTCTTCCAAAGTAGGTTGGAATCTCAATATAAAGAAAATAATGTGAATATCAAATCTAGAGGGTATAGTATATAACCTGCCGGTATGTAGTCTTTCTCAGCCTCCTCCTATACCAAATCTACCGTAATAGGATACATGATTGAACAACTATAATGGCGTATAGATGGGCGGTTATTGTGTTTCCATCGCTATCTTGCTAACTAATTTAAAAGGTTTGGCAGTTACCGATAGTCTCTGTAACCATCAGGCATGAAGTGCAGTTGTAACCGTAGATCGATAGGCCTTGGCAGTATGAATCGTAAGGGCAGAACTCGCTCACACAACTAGGCTGCTGTCTGTCTGCCAACACACTGCGAGTTCGAGGGTTAGATGTCTGGGCCTCCGAATTAGCCCTGGCCCTCTTCGCTTCCTCCAACACGGCATTACTTGGCGTCCTAGGCCAGTCTCCAGAAGGGGCGCGGGAGTCGAGTTGCGCAAAGTCTATCACGTTAAAGCGGCTGTCGAAGGAGCGTACGACGTTGTCGGAGCCAACGTGGGTGAAACCCATCCCAGATGCATCGCGCTTTAGGCTGGGGACAACATCTCCGACTGATCGAGTGTTCTAAAGACGAAACAGATTAGTATCAAAGTTTAAGTCCCTTACCATAATTAGGAACTCACCTTTTCGGCCGACGGCATGGCTACTGCAGAGCCAGCAGCGGCAAGGACATATGCTACGGAGGAAAACTTCATCGTGTTTTATCTTAACGCTCCGTCTATGTTTGAGTTCAGGTATGACTTCAATAAGCTAGGAATCAAAAGTTTTTCAAGAAGAGGAAGCGCAGGGTTCTTTGTTGTCTTGTTTGACGATAAGACAGAGATGCACAGTACTCGTAGCATTTGAATCGTGAGAGCTTTATAATACTTGAAACCTCATACGATCGGCAGGACTTGGTTCGCCTTTGGCGGACTTGGTCGGCATGTCTGATCAGACGTGACACGTCGGACGCGGAAGTTGACAAGCTTACACCTCCACAAGACCAAGAAAAAGGCGGTATCCATATATGCATCTACCATTAGCCTGGGGAATAGCATGTAGGGCTGAGGAACAACAAGCCTCGATGGTGTTTTACTATTCGACAGCCCAACTACAGACTAGATGTAAAGACCATAAATTGATTGGCCCCGTTTCAAAGCTGGGTGATCCTACTCTTCGTTAGAGACATCCACGCGTATTGTTTTCTGCATAGCCCCATTTGTCGGTCTTATAACGTTCCTTTGACCTTGAGTTGTGATGTCAGACCCGGCTGACCCGCAAAGGAATAAGCTTCTAAGATATGAGAGGCTTGGTGGCCTCGTGTAAAATCTGACTCTATGGGATTGGGCAACCCTTTGTGCGGCTGCAACAAGAACATAATCATATCGTGATAACGAGTAACGCGATGATCAAAAGATCAAGCCTCGTATTCCCGCAAACCATGTGAAATGTTGCTTTTCTGAATATTGTGCCGCACTCGCTTCGCCACCTTCACACGTTACATATTACGATACATCATTCACAAGTTTAAATAGATCAGTAAATCATTGATAGGTAAGCAAGGGACGCCAACTAAATCGAAGTACCGTGTATTGAAACATAATAAATGATTTGGTGGTGACAACAGAATTTCTGAGTTATCACATCGGAGAAATTGTCACTCTTTGGAAAGATAAGGCTGGTTAGAAAGACAAACACTAATATTGATATCTACGAGAGTGATTCCTAGTTTGAAGAACTTAACTTCTCGATAAATAAAAGCGCCAGAGATGGTAAATGTAATGTTTATATAATGGGAATAAATTATTAGTCAATCAGTCGTAGATTGAACAAAATCGATTTCGTATTTCACGTAAGATTTATATTTCCCGCACCGCTTTGCAGCGCAGCTATAGATTAAATCTTCTCAGATTCATTGATGGCGAAATAGTGGTAATCAGTTCATATGGGAATAACCTATTTTCAGAGTCCGGGTTTAGACTCACATAGAGGGCATTAGATATTAAAGCATTCGAAATCGAGGTTAGTAGTTTTAAAGCAGGAAATTCCAAAAATGTAATTGCAAAAATTATTCTTCCGTACTTAGCTCACGCTGTTATCATTCGACAAGCGCTACTCTACGATTTGTGATTGAACAGTGCCGTACCATCGCGAATAGGGGTAAAAATGGTTGGCCCAGAGACCCTATCAAATGGCCCAATTGACAAACGACATAGCCACTAAAAAAAATAAATTCGACTTCTAAAAAGTATTCAATGAGATGGAAGACGCTATTTTAGACTATGTCACTCACTATATAGTAATATTGGGAGATGGTGAATATTTGAAGCTATGATATAGACCCTTACTATGTACAAATGAATGCATCGTGAACTTCATTCTGGGGGGATTCACATTGAATGCCATACCTATTCTACCTAAGTTTGAAAACATATATAAGGGGGCAGCCTACCACAGTACCCTCACCTCTCCCACTTCCCATCCATCAATCTACTTGATAACAGAACCAACCGTACCATCGACATCGTCACCATTATCACTACCAACCACACTACAACAAATAAACAACACAATGCCTGGTTATCCACGCGGCCATTCGCAACCTAAAATGAGCGGACCAGTACGTAACTTCCCCATTCTCAGCCCCCTTCTTCCCTTCCCACAGCTTATCTCGAACAACTAACTCACTCCCAATCTAGCAGCCCGTTCCCGCCACCCCAGCAAGGCGACAAGCCCCGCCATCAAGCTCGTCGAGCAGTCCACCGACAACCTCCTGCCTCAAGAGGGGAGGAAGCTCCTCCAAGGAGAACAGCCCGCCCAAGCAGGTCAGTTTCGGCGGGTATGCGCAGGTGAACACGATCGACACGTCTGGGCGGAGGCAGTCGACGTACCAGCCGCTCAAACAGGACACCAGCGTACCGTCTGACAGGACCAATGCCAGTAGTAGCAGCAGCAACAGCAAGGGCAAGGGAGTGCAGAAGTAGAGGGACGACGCCTGACTAAACGAGGGGGAAAAAGCAAACGGAACTAGAGGAAGAAAGAAAAAATCACGTGTTTTGGTAATTCGCGGGAGAATTATGCACGACAGGATGAGGTGAATGGGAGAATGATAGGGGGGGGGGGGGGTCCGGAAAAGGTTTTGATACCCCCTTTTTACTTTTTTGGTTTCATATTGCTTTCCTTTAGATATACATACTTGAGCTTCGCGATATCCGTTTACACCCCTATCACTATAAGTGTTTAGGGCAGCATTTACCTTGGAGTTACAGAGAAAATAGATTAAGGGGAAAGGCGGTAGATAAATTTACATCGAGTTTCCCACATACACCTTTGCAACCAACACAGTGTGATGCTTCTTTTTTATTTTTTGGTTTTCTATAATGGCTTGGGCTAGACTACCTATTCTGTGAATTTGTTCATAGGGAGGGTAACTGATGTTAAGTAACAATGTATAAAATAAAGGGATATATACATGAAGGCATTAAGGCCACTGAGTACGTTCAAATGACTGCGAAGCCTATGTACCCTGCTAGAGGTGCATACCTCGGTGAGTTAATACCCACATAGCCATATACCCCCTTCTCCCCTGATCACGCTACCTCGCAAGCCCTCTTCTTACGCAGAACGCCAAGATAAAAGTTATAATCCATCGTCCCACGGGACATTACATAAAACCAAGGAAGAAGAGCATACATGGAAAAAGAAGTATTCGAACCCGACGGTCTTCTTTTTCAATCCCTTATGTACCAGTCCCTGTTTCTTTTCATTACCAATTCGATCCACACCACCATCCTTTCAACCTTTCAAATATACCACGATCAATATTTTTTTTATTTGCAGATAGGATTCCAGGCGCCGACCCAGGACTCGTTATGAGTGACGAAGGTATCCGGGTCGATTCTACGGGATTTCACGTTAGCACATAACCGCCGCCTATACCATTATACATCAGGTGTTAAGGGGGTAGGGGAAGAGAGCAAAGAAAAGCCCAGAAGCCAGGAAAGGTAAGGTAAGAGAACTACTAACAGGTCGTCAAAGCAAACACAGTTTGACCCGGCCGTGGCGTCGGGGCCGGGGTAGTCCACGAAGAAACCGCCGGCCCCGTTGTTAGCGCAGTAGTGCTGGCACTTGAACTGGGCGTAGGCGAAGCCGGTTTCTATGGGCTCGGGGACGCCGAAGGACTATGTTTTTTTGTTGTTAGTTATCGGGCGAGTAGGCGACCGGAGGCTTGATATGAGCATCATGCTACTAGGTTTATAAGGCAGTATAGTAACGGTGGTGATTATATAGGGGGGGAAGCTTGTATAGGATGAATATGATAAGGAGATCGTGAATAGAGAGAGGCAAAAGAGGAAATATGGAGGGGGAAAGCTCACATATGTGGCTGCGACATGGCTGCTCGCCCACGCGGGCTCGGGCTTGTACCCTTCCTCAAAGGCGATGGTCGGCTTAGCCGGGGCGTAGTCAATAGTGTAGCCGGCGGTCACGGTGGGCGTCCCGGTGGTGCAAGGGCTGGCGGCCAGGCCGAGGGTGGAGAGGGCAGCGAGGATGAGGGCACGGGAGAGCATTGCGGGTGAACCAGATAGATTTATGGGAATATACGTTTGGGGT